TGAACGTAGGTCGAATTGAACTCCACTGATACATTTCCTGGCTTCTCTGATTTTCCTGACTACATCTTTGTTACAAAAATGTGTGCATATAATTCAGCCTGACCAAGCGATGTAAGCACGTAGACGAAGACCAGACACCATAACTGCCATTGCGCAAGCTGCTCCCGCAACAAGTCCATGCATTGCCACCCACATATAAATACCGAACATCTCACCAGCCCCTTGTTTCCTTGATCCCCGTGCGTGTAGCTCATCACCGTCACCCCCATCCTCAGTCACACCCTCGTCTCGCCTGTGTGCCGTACCACCCACATTGCCCTGCTGCTTCGCATTCGGATCCATCTGCACCTCTGCTGTCCCTGCTTTGTCGGTCGTGCCTGTCCTATTATCAGACACTGGGCCATCCAAGAGTATCGCCGTCGCCGCATCCGACACGACCGAGCTTGCCTGCGACCACGCACTCGTGGCCCAGCCCCCCCATCCCCCGCCCCAGGAGTCACCCCCACCACCCGTACCCGCAGCGTTTGTCGTATTGTCGGACCGCTCACCCGCCAGCCTGCCAAACAAGGCCCTAGTGGCGGCCCCGGATTCTAGCTCTTTGGCCTTCGCTTTGTCGGTGGTTTCCAGTTTGCCCTGCCGCTCTTCCAGAGGCACCTCCCGCGGTGGCGGCTTCTGATTGGCTGTTCTATTTTTAGCATTACCGTCACCAGCTAACCTGCCAAACAGAGAACCGGCGCCTGCTGATGCGAGCTTGTTCGTGTTGTCTTTGTTAGCGTTGGACAGGAGACCTTGCCGTTGTTCCAGAGTGTGTTTCTTTTCTACAAAGGCGTTTAGGCCCCCATTGCGAGGTGCGCGCTTCTCTCGTGGTTCTGTGTAGGTAGGTAGGTATTGAGAGTAATAGGTGTGCATGTGTGAGTGGTGAGTACACACATGAACAGTGCATGCAATCTAATGCCACAGAGGTGTATGTGCGTGTAGCCGTCTTGTCCGTTAGAGTCTGGACAACATCGACTGCAAGAACAGATGCGTATTTATTAGTGCTGCATGTGTGTACACGGTAGTGGCTTCGGTATGTTGAGACGACAGCGCTCGTTTCGTACACATAGGTGGCTTGAATGCATCTGTATACGCACGAAGTCCCGCGCACTTGGCATGCGACCGTCTGCAGCTATACATTCAGCTGTAAACCCGAACGACAGATCGGCGGTGAAA